CAAAACTATTAATCCAATTCTGTCAAACTGTGCACGTTCATCTTTACCTTCAGTCTTTAATTGTTTTCCTGTCCCTAGCATCTTGTTTAACCCAATTCTGTCAAACTGTGCACGTTCATCTTTACCTTCAGTCTTTAATTGTTTTCATGTCCCTAGCATCTTGTTTAACCCAATTCTGTCAAACTGTGCACGTTCATCTTTACCTTCAGTTTTTAATTGTTTTCCTGTCCCTAGCATCTTGTTTAACCCAATTCTGTCAAACTGTGCACGTTCATCTTTATCTTCAGTCTTTAATTTTTTCCTGTCCCTAGCATCTTGTTTGTTGCTTGACAAACAGTAAATTTTCCTAATTTATTACTCGTATATCCAAATGTATTAAGTTATCGTCTTTGGTTAACGTGATGTATTCAGTCATTCACTCATGCAAGTCCAACTGTTTCTACAAAGATTCATATATAATAAATAGTGCCGTATTATCAGAAACCTTTACGTATATATTTTAGTTACTGTCAATGAAACATTTTATATAATTCAATAAATTGTTTGATTTGATTTTTTACATTTATCTCCAAATTACTGATATTATAAGTTTATTCATGTGGATTTTTCCTTAATTGTAACTGTTGATATTCTACCTGTCTCTTAGAGATATCACCTGTCAATGACTCCTGATAAAGCTATAATATGCATCGTAACATCATATGCTATAGCCAATGCTTAGTGATGTATAGATTGTTTTTTAACAAATTATTGATAAATTATTATTCTATATACTAATTGTACTTAGTTTTCAATAATTAACTGAAGTACAGATATGAAATAAAAGTAATAACTCATTAAAACTGTGCTCATTTATTCTACCTTTGAACTGCCAGGCTTTACAGAAATAACGTACTATTAATTTTTGTTTTGATACATTTTCAATTTTTCCTACACAACATGACAATAATATAATATACCCTTCATGGGGACTGTTTTAATAATAACTTAAGAAATTTAAATCTATAGTAAAATGATCCTCCTAATCTAGTTTTTAGGAAGAATCAAAGACTTGTCTAGAGCCATTACATTCTGTTTATGTGGAAAAATTAACAGTAAACACAAATACTGGTGTAGACATGCTACAAAATTAACCTGTATGAGCTTTTATGGCACTAAGATAATATATTTTTTTGCCATCCATGTCCTAGAAGCATTACTAAATCACACGAAATTCACCGACTTTTTCTTGGTTTTGTCTGTAAAATGAAATTCTAATGTTTCCCTGGCCAGGAACGCAAAATATAAAATTCACTGCTTTTCCCAGTTTTCCTGACCTGTGAAGACCATTAAAAAAGAATAACCAAAAGAGACAGACATGATATGAAGAAAAAAAAAGTTTTATTTATACTGGCTAATTTTTCATGGTTAAAAAAATCAAAATTCAACCTACACTCTGCTACAGGGAGTTTTTTCACTTTAAAATATGTCAAATCTGTCCACTATATAATTTGTATCATGTTTCTCAGAGCCTGTCTTAAAATACATATTGTACAATACAAAGCACTTTGTGCTTTCTAGTGTCGTGTTACACAACACATTTAACATATTTGCTTTTTCATTGCTTGCGAGCCGTTGTTCTTCTAACAGCTCGCCTGAACTTCCGAGGTGGATTTTTATTGTTTACAGAAACACTGAAGGGATTTTCTGAAGAAGACCTGG